AGCCTGTGCGTATGCATGTGTGGATCTCCACATGCATTCGTTGGATAAAAATAATGTCAATCCAGTCGAAGGAGCCACTTCAGAGATCACGTCCGGCTGTCACAGAATGAAAACTAAATACTGGGCAAGTCAAAGGACAAGCAGCACCAGCCCCGAGCACAGGGGGTCCCCGGGCCCCAGAATGCCAAGGGCGGCAGACGGTCAAGAAGTGCGTCTGTCATGACCTGCTGCTGACCGCCGGCCTTGAGGCGGCTGTCTGATCAGAGTCAGGCCAGTATCTGGGAAGATTCCTGCACATCAGGAGAGGTGCCAGTCTTTATTAGGGTAACACAACACGGCACCCCTCAGCTGGAGCAGACACTGTCGACCCTGGTTCCCTGGAGGTAGGGCAAAACCAAAGAACCCACCAGGCACATGGCGGGAAACCAGCGTTACCACCCACCAGGCAGGTGACATGTGCTGGAAGGTAAGACAACTGATTTGGTGGAATAACCTGGAGAATCAGTGAGAGATACAGAGGTTCTGAGGGCCCTTAGCACCCCCTGTAAACAGAAGCGCATGCAGTGATCTGCGCTGTCAGGTTACTAAGGACACGGGACTTCACAGAGCTGAAAAACACAAGTGCATTTTCCGAAATGCACACTCTCACCCTGACGGCCGGGAAACCTTACCTTCGGCGGTGCCCGATAGACCGTCGGCTTTGAAGTTGCTGGTGCTTTTCTTCCTTCGGTGCTTCTTTCTGTTGGCGTGAGGGGAGGGGGGCGGGTCGAGCTTGGGGCTGGTGGTGCTGGAGATGCTTGGGCTGGAACACACGGAGTCGCCCAGCCCCGTGTCTGCCATGGGACCGGAAAAGGCAGAAGAACGCAAGGTTAACACTTGAGAAGTAGACTCTGCAAAAACACTGAAGTTACATTCTTCCAAGATCATGTGAAGTCCCACAGACAATATACTACTGAGATATAACATACACATGTTACAGGATACGTAATACACAGAATACAATATGAAGCTGCTGGATGGGAGGCCCAGAGCATCCGGTACTAAAGGATCATGGAGGTGGTCAAAAGGTACCAACTTCCAGTTATAAAATGTAATATAGTTAATGTAATTAGAGTCTACATAATATAGTTATGCATGTAATATAATATATAGTTTATAATACCATAGTGTATAGTTGAAAGTTGCATGCTAAGAGAAATGTCAGTTGAAAAAAAAAAAAATTGGGGGAACCTAAGAATTGGAATAAATAACCAAACAAAAAAAAAAAAAGGAAATTGCCAAGGAAATTGATTCTAAAAAGTCTTGTCAACAGGGAAAAAATGTGCTCACTGTGTGGTGATGGATTTCAACTAGACATCAAATCACTGTCACGCACCTGAAACTACTATAATGTGATATGTCCATTATCTATCAAGAAAACAAAGAAAGAGCAGAAAACCAGATCCTGGTGCTCTCAGCTCCAATGTACCACCCGTCATCCCAAAGACAGGCATTTATTCCTGCATGGTCTTTATGCTGCAGAGGATTGCACGTTGCCCACTGCGCATGACTGGCGTCCTGGAAAAGGGAAGTGGGAGGTCATGCTTCCCACGTGCTCGCTTTTCTCTTCCTGTAATTACCTTGATACGTTAGGAAGGAAATGAAGACACTTAGAAACACATGTGCAAGGGTCACCTTGGGTGGCAGCGGTTCTGTGTGTGCGCACAGAATCAAGGTGATCCTCACTGTCGTTCTGTCCCCACTGTCCCCATACCCCGTGTGACAGGCACGTCAGTTTATTATCGGTGGCGCGTGGCACCGCATTTCTCTCTCTCACCAGCGTCCACTGATAGCGTTTGGAACTCGATGTCGCAGACCCGCCAACTTTGGATTCACTAAGGCTATTTATAAACTTTTACAACCAATGCACAAGTGTGATAATTCATTGTAAGTGAAACTCTCAATTTATCATGTCTGTTTTTCTCTTTACTAAAGAGAAGACCCGAGTCGCGCTAGAAGACCAGCAGTGAACATGTAGTTCAACCACAACAAGAGGACACTGAAAAAGTGATGGCGAAACGTCATCCAAACACCGCCAACATCTGAACAGGCGTTTCTTTCATGACTCAGCATGTTTGTAATTCAAAAGGCAGAAAGTTCTGTGCAATGTATTTCATTCGTTCAACTAATATTTTTGAGCACCTACTGTGGGCCAGCCCCTTTTCTAGATGCTTGAGACCCATCGCTGAGAAAAACGGATAAAGGTGCCTGTCCTGGTGGCACTGACAGTGGCCAGGCCACAACCTAGAGCACATCAGGAGGTGGCATGTGTTAGGAGAGGGGAGAGGCGTGTGGAGGACTGACAGCTGGGGAGGTGATGGCAGGGAGGTCTCGTTGGGGAGGTGACATCTGAGCCAAACTTAAAGGTGGCAAAGGAGTGAGAAGGTGGATCCCGGGGGCGGAGGGAGAGCCAGAGCCTGGCCCTAAGAAGGAAGCCCGCCCGGTGTGTGCCACTGATGGACAGGAGGCGAGTGGCTGGGGCTGGGAGGAACGGGGAGGTGCGTAGGGAACGGCAGAGAGGGAAGGGGCTCAGCTGCAGGGGCTGGCGGACCACTGTGAGGACGCTGGCTTCTACTTGGGAAATGGTTTTGAGCAGAAGGGTGACATGATTTCAAAGATAAAGATACTTGAAATCAAACTGAGTTTCAAATATTTTCATTTTGTGAAGTTCTAGAAAATTTTATTACACATTGAGAAATGTAAAAATACACAACTTAAGGTATCTTTTAAGATACATGTATGTTTCCAAAAACTTCCTAGGCGTGCTAAGACCAGGGACCATACGGCCACGTCAGCATGGTGGGAAGGGTCCACCTTCTTCCTGCGTATCCACCACACGCAGAGGCGCGGTGTCGGAGCCCCGCCGGGGAGGGCGTGAGGCGCCA